ATATATATATATATATATATATATATATATATATATATATATATATATATATATATATATATATATATATATATATATATATATATATATATATATATATATATATATATATATATATATATATATATATATATATATATATATATATATATATATATATATATATATATATATATATATATATATATATATATATATATATATATATATATATATATATATATATATATATATATATATATATATATATATATATATATATATATATATATATATATATATATATATATATATATATATATATATATATATATATATATATATATATATATATATATATATATATATATATATATATATATATATATATATATATATATATATATATATATATATATATATATATATATATATATATATATATATATATATATATATATCACTATCCTCATATGGTACTTCATACATAATTTTCCTTATTAGATATACCATTATACATAATTTTCCTTATTAGATATACCATTTTCCTGATCATATCCCATTAATAAATTGTTTTCCTAATATTTTCATGATATGGTTCAATGATTAATTTCCTACTTATGGAACTTAGGACATGTATAAATACATAGCACACATATACATACCTTCAACATAAGATAGAATCACTTCAAGTATCAAACATGAGTTATTTCAAGAACAATAATAACCTTTTCTTCTCATTCATCTTTGTACTTAACCTTGCTTTAGTGGCAAGATCTTCATTGACCCCAAAACTTGCTTTGTTTACTCCTGGTTATTTAATGCACATTATTGATGCCCTCCCAAATGGTGCACCCCCTTTGACTCTTCGTTGTCAAGATAAAAATAACGATCTTGGTTATCATATAATCAATGTATCTGAAGAATATAGATTTAAGTTTAAAGATCGATTTTTCGGTGGTACGTTGTACTTTTGTCATTTTTATTGGAACGGAAAAGATAAAATCTTTGATGTTTTCAATGACTTTATAGCTGACGGTTGTGGATCCCTTAAAGTTACCAATGACGCTAAATCTGACGGTTTTGGATCCCTTGGTGGCTTTTTTCTCTCTGAATGTTATTGGAAGGTGCAAGAAGACGGATTTTATTTTTCAGGCAGACAAAATGGTGAATTTAAACAGATGTATACATGGCAATAAAATGTATCATCTAGATCTATTTCAATTTCGTATATATAAAATAAGTGAGTATTATATAGTTGAGAAAACTTGTACTCTTGACATTTAATGAAAGGAATTCATCTTAGTATGTTACACCGTTATTTATTTCTTGATTCCATTTCATGAGCTATATAGTATCTCATTTTTGTTTAAGTTTTTTTTTTACAGATTAATAACATACATGATCGAGTACGAGTTTTTTTTATGTCCATATGTTGTTATTCAAAGAATTATTAAGTAAGTAGCTATGGAGAAAAAGAAGGGCAAATATCACAAGAAATAAAGTAAATTAATTAGAGTCTTCAATTATATTACTATTTAAAATTTGCTTTTTTATGTTACCTCTAACACCTAGTGTAAATAACACAGAGAAATTAGTATGTACTTTTTTGGGGGATCTTGATTAGTCTGTACTCGAAGGCATGTCAAAAGTTAAATAGGTCAAAATTGAAAATTACTTAATTAATTAGTCTCTTCCAATAATATAAAATGGATAAAAAAGATTGTTCTAAAATGACATAACTGTT